CAATGCCATGAAGGACCCTCCATGCAGATCTGGGCGTATTGAACGCGCATGTTTGGAGGCGTGCCTTGTACTGCAAAGTAGGCTTCAGCCCTAGCCACCCAGCCGACTGGATCGACTCCGGTAAACACCGGAAGCTCTATCCGTTTCGCCTTAATTCGATAATCATCGTGTTGAGTTTCGCTGGTAATTACCTTCGCCTCTCCGCCATTACTTTCCTTCTCCTTCCCCTTCGATGTTCCACTACTTTCTTCCAGAGTCATCGTTGGAATTTCCGATGATGTTTGGGGACACTGAAACCCATTTTTTATTTCAGCGTGTAATGTCTGCATGCTACTCGCAATTTCTGCGACGCTGGTTACCAAGGCACCGAGTTTTACCGAATGGTCGGCTAACTGATTGGAGTGAGCTTTGGACGTCAAGTCCTGAGAACGAAGGATCGCTTCATGCGATTTCAACGAATTCTCCACCGCTGCCATTCTCGCGTCAAGAGCATCAATACGCTGAGATGTCATTCTGGTGAGCATACACTAACAGATCTTCCTCTCCCACACCCAAAACTCTCAATGAAAGCACCAGTTGATAGGGTTTAAACTCTTCCTATCTATAAAAGAGGAAGTACTTTTTATATTAATTGAAAAGATGCAACTGAATACAGAAATACGTAAGAGCCAAAGCTCCCAGCTATGGAGATCTCTCCATTAGCCCCTTCTTACCCCCTGTAGAAATTGAATGTAAAATCTGAATGAATTCTCTAACAGAATACCTCAGTCACATATAAAGGATCAAAATAACAAACTACCACTAACTCTCTCTCTTCACCCACCCATGTAACCCACACGAGCAACAAACTATTACACGTCACTATTTCCCTCTCCCTTATTTTTATTCTTCCTTTGATATACTAGTATTGGGCCATTCCATTTCCTATGCTTGGGCTGTGAATCTGCCTCTTCCTCTGGTCCAGTAACTTGTGGATCTGCCTCTTCTGTTGTTGTAATGCTATCAGAGGGAGATAAGTTAGACTTGGAGAAGGAGAAGACTGACTTGAAAGGTGACTTTGAGAAGACTGACTTGGTTCATTACAAGTTGAATTGGGTACCTCAACTATACATTGGTTGTAATTACAAGAACTAGACATAGAAGGAACTTTATTGATAGAGGATGCAGACTATACATTGGTTGTAATTACAAGAACTAGACATAGAAGGAACTTTATTGATAGAGGATGCAGACATAGTTGGTAGCTGAAGTCCATTGAATCTATATAGGCCATCTAGAACAAGGTAGCTCGTAGCCTTCAAGTAAGACTTCCTAATACACCTAAAATTAGTTATAGAAGGAACTAGGAAAAGATTATACAACTCAAGAGTAGTGTGTGGTTTGAGAGGAGAAGGAAATTCAATTGAGCCAATAGATGATATGGTCAAACCATGGCCATTACCCCACAGAAATTTGCTTTGGTCATGTGAACTGAGCACTTTGGAGCAGATTTTGAGGATATATTGTAACATAATGAGATGTACCCGAATCTTGATACCAGTCCAGAGCTAATCAATACGTAAACGAAGCAACAAAGGCAAGAGGAGCCTTGAGACAGTTGTCCATTGAGAGAAGGAACAAGAACAACAAATGACATTGAGACAACAGGATCTAGAAACAAGAAGTTAGAGGTTGGGTACTTTGGTATTGCAGTGTTGTGGTGCGTTGGTATTGCCACTGTGAAACAAGTTTCTTTAGAGGCTAGAACCCAGGATGTGCAACATGTGTTTGACTATCCAAAGATGGGGCTTGATTTGTTGCCGGAAAAGCAACAAATAAAGCATCAAAATGCCAAAAGCAAGTTGAAACTTCGTGTCCATTTTTTCGGCAAGACTGACATAGCATGAATGACCTTCCTCCGCCATGACCGAAGAATTTAAGTCTCTAAGGATGTCATATTCAATGAGTTCAAGTTCCTTATGCCTCCCTTTTGGAATCAAAATCTCCCAATAATCTCTCAACATCTTCTACCTTCTTTAGCACCATCATTCCTATTCCCTTTCCTCAAACTAATCCTTCAAGTCCATCACCTCTTATTCAGTCCTCACCTTCACTCCCAACCTCTTTTGCTCATACCAGCAACTTTATCTTCCTCTTTACATTTACATTGAAGTGAGTCGAAGCCTACAACTCCTTGAACATCAACCTCTGCAATTAGTTCCTTACCAAGCCAGTCCTCAAAATCATCACCAATAACACATGTTCCATCTTATTTAGTTTTATCCACCTCTTTACATTCAAGTCAGTCTAAGTCCACATCAGCGAGTACATCAGATCAATCATTTTCTATATTTAACTCCTCACCAAGTTAATCCTCCAGGTCTTTACTAGTAACACAAGTACCATCCTCTCCACTTCAAAGCAATCAATCTCTATCCAATCAAGGTCTGTCCTCCAAGCAATATCCTTCATCTCATTATCCTAATCCTCAAAATAAATCATCTGCACAGTCTCACTATCCGCAAACACCTAGTTTAGAGTCTTCGCCAACTTCGCCTTCTTCTTCGAGGTCTGAATACATTCCCTCATCCTTCCTTGGCACACCCTTTCCTACACACGTCATCATCACCTGGTCAAAATGACTTGTTCCTTCTATATTTGCAAATCACATGGAGCCAATAAGTGTCAAACAGACCTCGACAAATCCCCAGTGGCTTCAAGCCATGCAACAAGAGTACACCACACTGAATATTGAAGTTTGACCAACACCACAACCGAAATTCTTTAGGTTCAAACCCTTTTATTAGAACTTCCAAGTCCCAACAAGATCTTGATTATATATTGTGACAATCAAAGCATTGTTTCCTTACCTCACAACCCAATTTTGCATTCCAGAAGTAAACATATGGAGCTTGATGTATTTATTGTTCGTAAAAAGGTGCTGAGTAAGTCTTTTATTGTTCAACACATTCCTGATCAACTTCAAGTGAACGTCTCTGTGCAACACAGTTTGCAGAACTTAAGAGACGTACACAAGGCCTTGGATCACACTCAGTTTAACCAACACCCTTGAGTTTGTGTGTGTGTGTAGGGTATTAGAGAAGTATTTACTCCCTTGTATTATTCACTATATTAACTAGTTATTAACCGGATTGCAGCAGCATGGTTTGTTTGTTGTAATTCGTTAATTATTGAACTGTATTTAGTTGGTTCAATTACATCTAATGGAACTAACCTTTGGTAGTTAGTTATGAAAACTTGCATTACAAGCTTCATTTTCTACCTCTATACATACTAGCTCTGAATCTTAGAACTATAACTTGAATAATATTGACACAGAGAATTTACTCTTTTTCTCATTTTCTCTCAAAAGGTTTACTCCAAAGTTCAATATCTAGAAAGAGGCAGTATGTCATGATTCAACAAATTCATTTCCTTTCCTTTCTAGACCATCAAACCAAGTACAACAAAAAAAATATAAACTTTATCTACAGTACAGAATCCAGATCCCTACATCAACTAATGAATTATAGTTGCCTAGATCTAGTTAAAAAGAATGAGAAAGAAAGATTGATAAACACTTATATTCCCAAATATATTGAAGCAAACCTGAACAAGAGAGAGCGAGACAGATGATAAAAGCTCCTCTAGAGTGACCTTGTCTCTAAAATGGATCGGAAATGGTGGATCCATTCTTTTTAGTGGATTAAAATCACAATGTACTTTAAATTAAATCAAGGGTAGATGCATTCTTACTTGTTCACATTAGAGACAATCTCATTATAGAGGAGCAAAGAGATAGCGAGAGAAAGAACACATGGAGATGTGTGTTTTAGATATTAAATGACAGTCATCAGGTCAGGTTGTTTATAGCATGCCATAGTGCTGCTGCATCATGTCGCAGCCTGTGGCCGCTACTGAAGTACTGATGTTCCATCTGGTCACACATTGCAGGCACTAATCATGGCCAATGCGTCCACTATGCCATGCACACAATCAACAATCCATATTTTCCCTTTCTTTTCTGAATTTTCTCAACCATTTTTAAGACACATTTTCATGATATCTCATCCTTAGAAGCATTTTTGGATTTTAAACCCTTCTTCAAAGAAAATACACTGGCCCACTTGTTTTCAGCCCAAACCCAGCCTTCTTCTGGCAGCAATGTGGTTTTCTGGCAAAGCCCAATTGTTTTCCCTATATTGGACCTCTGTCCCTCCTCTGTCAGCACTCTGAATACCTTTGTTCAAGCATCTCATTGCATTTTCCAGCAGCTCAATGATTATCGGCCCAGGCCTGCCCCTGTTTGACAGTTCCAGCTTCACATAGTGTTTCCAATGACTGTTCCAGCCTCAAGCAGTTCTAGATCTGTACTTTTGTTTTTCATAATATTCTTCAACTCTTCTTGTTATTGACCTGTTAATTATGCCTTAGATTGATGATGATAGTATCTTTGAGCTATGACTTTATCTTGTTAATGATGTAAATTTTGAGGATTCTTCTTGTGTTTTGAGCATTTATATGTACATATTATAAATTATTTATATTGCATGCGCTATCTTTGGTATAGCAGCCGCTCCATGATCCACTTTTTGGGGATGGCCACTCCGTGCTGCTATCCAAGATTAAATACTGTATATTAACTAAAGAATTCTATCTGGGGTCAAAAAGCAGCTCCCTGTTCACATTATGTCTTATTCTTGGACATCTCAAGACCACTGTATTGAACTGACTTGCAACAATAGGAGAATTATCATAATTCAAGCTGATAGTATAAGCATATCCTTGAATGTTAACCCCAAAAGAATAAATAAAACCAAAAGCCAGAACCATATTGAGCACCCATTACATGTGAAGTTTTGATCAAATGAAATGGAAAGAGACACCAAATACATAAGGTTCAGCCCACAATATTTGTAACAAAACCACATTAAAATTTTAACCTCACCCCCCTCCCCCCGCCAAAAAAAAAGAAGATCGAACAAGCAAAATAAGACAACAGGAAGTAGGGAATCAGTTACCGAATCATTAGTTCATAATAAATCCGCTTCAACTCTGGTAGAGATGGTATATCTGCAGGGGCTTCTTCAACAACATTATCACCTTCTTTAGGCTTTTTCTTTTCCTTTGAAGCATCAACTTCAAATACTCTTGTACTGATCTTTCTTGAGAGTATTTGTGCACGAACATAATCTTGGCGGTCTAGGCACAACCGGACCTGCACAATTTAATGCAAGAGATTCTCAAATCAGAAACAGAATTGTAGCATAAGAGATTAATGACCTACAATTAATGTCATCGCTGAAGGAAAGAGTAGAACGTATCATACTTGTTCAAGAATGAATGCAATTTTCTCCGTTTTTGCCATGGCACCAAAAGTTTCCACCTGTTAAGAAGACCAATCCGAGAAGTCAACTGACAGCTAATTGCACTAATTAGTTACACGCAAAAACCAAAGGTATATAATAAAAGCCATCACAACATTCAACATTCACACTGACCGCAATTTCTTGCATCAAATCAGCAGCTTCAGCTATAAGCCCTTGTTCTTCCTTAATCTTTGCAAGTTTCTTAATCAATCGAGCTCTCTCAATCTCTACATATATCTAAGAAATGATACAATGCATCAAATATAGATATTATAAGATAGACTACATTGGAAGATAATAAAAAAGGAAAGGAAAGTGAAAATATCATATGCTCACCTTTCCTGCAGATATACTATTCAAGGTTTTGATGAGTTCTATACGAGTTTCAACATCGGGTGTTTCATCAATATACTGCATAGCTTGCTGCACCATTGCTGTCACAGCCTGTGCGTAAAGAATAGGCTTATGAATATGGACCATATCATGTTTCTTGTACCATTTGCAAGTCAATTACATAATATCTCAACTCTAAGCAACGAAATTATAAGTTGTGAAAGACACATGTTTTCAGAATGTCTACTCGTAAATAAAACTACAAAGTACAAACTACTATTTTTGTCAGTATGATTAGATAAAACAGATATCAGATTGAATTTAATGGAATTAGTAAAATCACAGAACATAAACCTTTTTACTAATTGCACAAAGGTGTCATTGATTTCTAAAACAAAATTTCCATAAATCACTCACCCTATTTTATTAGACATTGGTTAACACACTATACATTCTAAAACAGACAACTACCAATCTTAGCTACACACATTTTATTTTATTTTATTTATTTATTTATTCATAAAAACCTAGATATGTTGTCCGGAATGAAAAACAAATAATGTTTGTTCCTTTACCTGCTTAAGCTGGCCACGTCGTTTGGACAGGAGAACAATCTGGTCATTGAGGGTTTTCCAGGCACGCGCTTCGAAGCATAGTCGTAAAATGTCAGTGACGGCGTTTCTAGTGGCGGAAACGTCGCCGGCGAGCCTCGCATGCTTCTCTGCATTCAACAATTGCTCAATGGCAGCGTCTAAATTCGCCGTGTTCCCCATAACCATGGTCATCGTGAATGAACTAAGAATACGCCGTCGAGTGTATTTTGAAAACGTGCAACACTGGAGAAGAGACGGACTTTTATTAGAACAGAACCACCCACCCTTTTACAATTTTAATGGGCCTTGGCCTGTCCTTGTCTTTGGGTATTCTGGCCCGATTCTTTGTTTTGGGCTTTGGCGCCCAACTATTTTGGTATTCTTTTTTTTTATAACAAAAAATATCAATTGGTTTTAAAGGTGAAATTTCTCTCATTTGAATGTAATTGAGACAATATGTCACTTATCTGTATAAAATTAGCTGTTAACATTCCTTATTCTCTCTCTATTTTTATTTTATTTTTTTCTATTATAAAATTGATTTTCCCACTTAGTGTTCCGTGATAGATTTAGGCTTGATATATACTATTTAAGATCTGTTTGGATGAGTTTTTTTTCCTTCAAAAATTATTTTTTTCTAGAAAAAAACACTTCTTATTATAAAGTATGTTTTGATGTCTGCTTTAAAAAAAAAAACACACAAGTCACAAAAAAATCAAATATTTTTTTTTCTAAGCTAAAAATTTTAGTTTCTAAAAAAGAAAAAGTCAAAAACCAAATATTTTTTAAAAAATTCAAATAGCTTTAGCTTTTGTAAAAAATACTTTTAAAATAAGCAAGACATAAAAAATCATGTTTTATAAGCCCCATAGTAACAACTCAATAGTGATATCATCTTCCACAGTAAAAATTCATATTTAACACGAGATAGTTGCACTAAGTTTTGAGAAATCACAAAATCAATGTTTTATTTAATTTTCATCATAAACTTTTATTCGTTTTGAGATTGAATAAAACGTATCCTCAAAAAAATTTACATGGAAAACAACAATGTATCATTCAGCTTAAAGATGGAAAAAAAAAATGTTATTTAGTGCGTGTGCGTGTGTGTATTATCTTAATTACCTGGAAGTTTGAAAGATTATAAAGGTTATTCATTGATGAAAACTTCACCGCGCGTTTGTTACCAAAAAACAAATTAAAATTCACCTCGCGTTTTGTTTTTCATAAATTACATGCAATAATTGTTCCCGCCAAAGAAATATGACATATGGAGAGAAGATAAAAATAAAATTGCAATAGCAATCTTGCCAAGTACACATGCATATGGTCCAGGGACGAGTTTTATCTTTTGGTAATTTCTAAATAATATATAATTTTTATGAGTTTTTGGTGTTTCTAAGAACAAAAGTTTAGAAATAAATATTTTAAATAGTTCTTTTTATAAATATTACCCTTAATTTTTAAAGAATATCAACCTGATCTTTAACTAAAGAAGCGAAACAATGCGAAAATAATTTCATCAATACTATCTTCATCTAGTTGAGACGGAAAGTTTCTTTTGTAGCAATAAAATTGATACTTTATTACTCTATGTTCTAGATCAAGATAAATAAGGCTCATTCTTGAATGTTTGTACAAAAATATTCCCATACTATATATATACTTTAGGGAAACAGTAGTCTCATGTTGTAGGAGACTATTATCTTATGCCATAGACACTTCGATAAGTGTGTTGCTATTTTTTTTTCTTTTCTTTTTCTTTTTTAGTGGTGGGTCACATCATCTTGTGTCTTAGCAGAAGATATGATCTCTCCTATAACATGAGAGTAGACAAACCCTATACTTTATTATACAAAAATTGCAAACTATATTTTTCATATTGTACGAAATAATTTTGTCTCATGCAACACGTACAAAAATAGGTGAGACCCGCTAAGGAGAAAAGGCACACAAAAAAAAAAAGTGATCCACCCAATTTTTGTGTGAGGATGAAATAAAATTATCTCATGTAATATTAAAAATATATTTCCCAACTATTTAATTGTGAATCGGTGGTTTCCTTGAGGCTGGAGTGTAATCCATTGAGAACACTTCACCGCCAGTGTTAAACTCCTCTTCTTTTGGCTTAAATAGGTCAGCATGCGCTTCCATATGGTGATCTGTGTTTGCATCCCCGCTAGTTCGGTTGCTTCTTTCTCTCAATGTTCGTGCTGCATAGAGAAAACATGTATAAGCAAATTAATAAAACTGAGAAAGAAACAGGAAAATCATGGGAATATTCTGAATCCAATGTTATGATCTTTTTGAGCCATGAATTGTTTTGGGACAAAATAATTACCTGTAGATTGGATGGAGAAGGAGCAGAGGAGGACGAAAACCATAAGTAGAATGCACTTGTTTTGTGCAGCATCCATCTTAAACAATTAGACTTCTAGTCTATAACTTGCTCTTCATCTGAATATACCATACGTATGCTCATTTCATTCCTTTATATAGACGCATGTTGGCAGAATATGGCAAACTAGTTAACTGTCATGTGCCACCGAGATTATTTTGCAGACCCTACTAATCCGGTATCAGGTTTGAGTCTCATCATTTTCTTTAGGAGTTGCGACTCTCACGAATCAGAATCCTTTGAACACGAGCCTAATAGTCTACGAGGGTCAACATCATTACTGTCTGGCTTGAAATAGATGGCTATGTGCTTTTGGGGGAAGCTTTAAAGGAAAAAAAAAACATAACTCCATGATCTCCATATGAATGTTAACCTATACTGTTGTACGTGTATTTTGGCCGTCTCAGTTTTCCTTTCATCGTCATATGCTTCCCATGTATCTATTGTATTAGTATTGCTCCCCAACTGTTGCATGAATATTAGTTAGTGATAACCTATGTCCCTTATTTTAGAACAAAACTTAAGGATTGTATCTTTCGAAACCATTCTGTCTCATGAAAGAAAATCCCATATGGGACTCTATTTCTCTGTGTCTTTGGATTCTATAAAGTATAAACAAATATTAAATCAAAAGAGTAATCTTTGTCAATAAATAAATAAAATTATAAGCCACATTGAAAGTTCAAGCGTTCGTGACTTTTAAAAATAAGATAATATCTAAGTATATAAGGGCGGGCTGCAGCATTGATAAAACAATTACTTGGTGACTAGTGCATAAAATAATGCCTATAAAAAAAGTAAGCACAAGAATTTTCATCACCTCCAATTTCCAGATTTCATTGAAAGATTTTTTTATAATATAAAAATAGAGAAAAATATTTTTTGTCATAAGAGAGAGATAACAATAAAAAACGATTTTGTTTTGAATTTGGGAAAAATAATACTGAGAATTTTATTTCTCTTTTAAGAGATTGAAGAAATACTAAACTCGGATGTAAATAGGCTACGCGGCCTATTAGAGGCCTACGAACTGACCCGCCGATAGACTCCACAAAGATTCATAGTAGAGAGTATCATTAGATTTGTAATGTCTCTCATTGTTTGGTAGTGCAGATCATCCTAGACTTAAGGAAGTCATCGAACAATATGTCCTTCGGTTATAATTTGACTGTACAACTCTATCTGTCTGAAAATAGGGAGAATAATGTACTCTTGGGTATAACTCGAATACATGAGTATATATAGACATGCCGAAAGAACATATAGTCCCTTACAAGGGATTAGTCGTTCAAAAGACCGGTAGAGCTTAGATGACTTTTAGTTGACTCGGGAATCTATACATATTCAATGACTAATTAGGCCTAATGGGTCACATACTAAGGTTATTCTTGATTGCTTTATTAAACAAGTTTGGACCAATAATTGTTATTGGACTTTTTCAAGACTATAGGAATAATTGGGTTGGATTGGGACTCCAGGCCCAATTAAGCCATACGCCCCATTTGGGCTTTTAGTGAGAAATTAGTTCCTCCACTAATAAGTCCAAATGTGTTAGAAGGTCCAATATGATCTTGGGCCATGAGTCCTAGTAAGTCAAATAGTTGACTTAGTCAAAATTAGTTTTGCTGCAATTCAAATTTTGAATTTGAAATTTTGTATTTTGAATTCAAATTACGAGTTAGGATAATATTGAATTTAAATTTAATATTGAAATTTAATTTAAATTTAATATTGAAATTTAATTCAAATTTTAAATTCAAGAGGTTAGATGGTTAAGGATAATTTTGAATTATCCAAAGCTACATCCAATAGAGATTGGATAAGGCTTCTTCTAACAATTCTTTATTTGGATTACGAATTCAAATATGGTTATTGAAGCAACAACCAAGGGATAAGAAGATGATGCTAGGAGAATTCAAATGGGAAGCTTTTAGATCCCATTTTGAATTTTAAAAATAATGTATTGGATTCATTGAACTTGAATTTTGAATTCAAGTCTTTCATGAATTGGAACAAACTCAAGATGGTAAAAACGGTAAAAAAAGTAAAAACTTGTGTTTTTACAGATTTTACGTTTCTTCACCTGTTTTTACTAAGGACCATTTTTACATTGCGTTTCTACCGTTTCTACATTTTTACTTTTTGACTAGTTTTTGACAACAATGGTCTAGAGGGTAGTTCCTATTCATGAAAATTTCGGTTAGCTTCTTGATCTAAGAGCCCTAGTTCTTGGTCACCTTCCATCATCTTCCTATTTCTCCATTGTTTCCCTATTCCTAACCTCAAGACAGTGTCATTGTTTTGCGAAATTAAACCAAACACTTGAAGCCTCCACATTGCCATTGCCAAGTAAGTTTCCAAGGAAAAAGAGGATTCAAGGAGAATGAGTTCTCACAATCGATCAAGGGCAACCGTATGGACTAGCATTAGAGGACATTATACACTTTAGTGTCATCGAGTGAAGGTAATCCTTTAACTCTATGTATGTTTTAATAGGTAGATGAGGGACATAAAGGTTATTTATGTTTCCATATTGAGACCAAGATTTTTTTTTGTTTTCACCCTTATGTGAGCACACTGCACACCATGATAAGACCAAGGTATTGCCTTTTTCAACTTTCAAACACGACAAATTTTTTTGCGGGATCGTATCTCTGGTCGACCTGCGTGTCATAACCAATTTTGACACCCCTAGGAGCTTTTGGCTTTTAGCTTCTTTTTTATTCATTTTAAAGAAATGCCCTTTTTATGATAAGAACTTTTATAAAATTATATTTTACTAAGCTTCTGCTTATAAAAAGGGAATTTTTTTTAAAAATAAGTGCTCCCAAACATGCACTTAGAAAACAAGCCATACGCTTTCTCTTACAAGGCATGTCCTATGAACTTATAGGTGTTGGGTTTGTGCTCTTTTACTAAAATCCAATTGGGCTATTAGTATGAGAAGAGCCCAAGAAACCTAGAGCCCAATGAGCTTAGAGCTAAGATTTTTTGGAACCCATATAAATACTATCACTTAAGTCATCAGCCTCCTAGGTCTTTTTGAGAGAAAAAGGCAAGCTCAAATCTGAATTGTGCCCACACACTTCCCTTTCTCCCTCGAGGGATAGTTTGAAAGGTTTGCCAGAACACATGTTCGTGTTGTGATGCAGCAGTTCGTGAGTTCGCATTGTCACGCAAAGAATTCAAGGAGTGTGGAGCATCATCCCACATCTACGCTAACAAGAGGTAACAATAAATGATGATGATCATATACATCCAAATCACAATAGTCTTAAACGCTTCCGCAGATGCAATTGCTCCTACAATTGGTATCAGAGCCATATTGTGTTTTTGGATGTAGATCTAGTTTTATTTTACATTTTTCATGTAATTTGTTTTGCTTAGTAAAATATGGCACCTAGGGTTCTATATTTGTTATTCAAATATTTGCATAAGTATCATTATAATTTTTTTCATTAAAAATATATTCTTTATATGGTTTTGGCTTTAATCCATGGTAGAAATTTCTTTGTATTTTCTTGGATTGTAACAAGGAGGCTAATCCGATATGATTAGGTCTCCTCCTTGATTTTATTTCAATTTTTGTACCCTTTTTTATTTGTATTACAAAATTGTAATAAAAGAAGATCAAGAAGATGCACAAAGAAGCGCATTCGTCAGTGTTTTGACATGTTCGTGACCTTCCGGTGGCCGATCTCAGAAACCAACCACATGGTGTGAAAGGGAACAGAAGCATGAGAAGAACGGTGGTCGGAGCACTGTAACACCCCGTGTATATCCGGTTTGTTAACATGTCATCGTATTAAGCCATGCTTAATAAAATATGCGGAATATCTTTATCTTTTCAGTTATGACGTCATTAAACTTAGCCAAGTTGATTACTTAATCATTTTCATAAAAACATTGCCTGTATGTAAATTGCAAAAGACAGCTAACTGAAATACCTCATAAATAAATAAGTGAGTATCTAAGCCACTAATCTACAACATGTAGTCCGAACATAATTCTGATACAATTATACAACTCGAATAAACTTAACATCGTCAAATCAATGTGGCATGAAAAATCCCTATGCTCACCAAATAAACAACATACTCATCAAGTCTCAAAACAAACAGCATGATAAAGGATAAAGCATAAACATCAAGCAGGTGCATCAGCATAATCAGCAAACATGTCAATTAACTAAGCTTCGGCCTCCTGCCGCTAGAGGTCTCAACTCCTAGGTTACTTGAACCTGAAATAAGCACTCCAAACGTGGGGTGAGATCTCTAAACAGAAATCTCAGTAAGACAAGGGGTCCTCAAGGATCTTCCACCCCAAGCTCACTTACATGTGCAATATAAGTTCAAAAATAGTTTAACAGTATAAGTTCCAAAACAGTGCAATGCAACAGGTAATCATGCCATGTGTGTTATAACTAATCTACTGGCCAGAGAAATGCAGGAATACGTTTATTACCCACACTACTGCAAGACGCCACTTGCACCCACCCACAGTGTCACTGTCTTGTATGACGCCACATACTCAGGCTTACCGTCTAAGTAGAACAACACATACATATTATAAGCAATTGCACATAAAGCTCAACAACATTTTCAATTATTAAAGCATGTAAACACATCATGCATATAAACCATTCTCCCATGGGGTATGTGGAACCACACAATGCCTAAACCGATGACACGAAAGCTTACCTTGCAAGCTAGCAATCCAAGCCAAGAGTCCAACCAATCTCAAAGCCCAAACACAGTAGAATCACAATATGTTTTGGACCAGTAATCATATCAATATTCAACCACAACAAGTATATGGTATAAAGACAACATCTTTCATTACGTTTCATGTCTTAAGGCTTCTCACAAAGCCATACGCCCTTAATCACTTAGATTCTGACTTAATTTAATCATTACAGAAGTCCACAGTAGCCAATCATGGGTCCACAAACCCAAAATAACGTTCTGTATGAACAGTACAACTACTGTTCTTCGAAAACCCTGAATATCTGGATATTTGTCGGGGACATATCCGGATATCAT